TCTCCTATGGTCTCAGGTCATGCAATTTTTTCTTTTTTCAACGGAAATCAAATTTCATTGCCATAGTCTATACATATAAGCCCCTCCATATGTTGTTTCAGAGCTCTTAGACAAATCTAAGGCTAAACAAATAATTCCAAATATAAAGACTTAGTTTTGCTAGTAGGTTTTAAATACCTTAATACATAAAAAAAAAAAAAAAAAAGGGGATAGTTTTAAAGTGGCCATTTTCTAAGTCTACAATGTTGGATATTGGCATATAAGCAACACTTGCTAAGAGTAAAATTTACCTAATAATACATTTGGTTGAGACCATTAAGTTCTTGCGTCAAGAGATATTGTTGGCATGGCCGCTAGACTTATACTAGCATGATCTGCAGTTGGCAATTCAGAGGGAAATAAACAAGGCCTAGGAGGCATTGTCGGGAGCTCAATTTCACTCTCAAGCATCTCCAAGACCTTGGTCATTGAAGGGCGAATGACAGGTTTCATCTATATGCACCATAAAGCAACTATGACCATCTTCTTCACAATATTCTTTTCAACATTTGTAACATCTCCCAAATCTATATCCTTGCCTCGATCAAATTGGTCATAAATCCATGTTGGGAAGTATACCTCACTTGATTGGTCAACAAATTCTTTAAAGTTCCTTCTTTTTCCTACCATTTCCATCAACAACATTCCAAAACTATACACATCAGCCTTGTATGAGACACCTCCAATATTCTTGTAGAATAACTCTGAAGCAATATATCCTGGTGTTCCTCTTGCTGCTGTGAGAGATACAAAACTATCATCTATAGGATAAAATTTTGCAAGGCCAAAGTCAGAAACTTTTGGATTAAAATTGTCATCCAAAAGGATATTGTGAGGCTTGATGTCAAAATGTAAAATTTGCATTTCACATCCCCTATGCAAGTATTCAATCCCCCTACCCACCCCAAGAGCAATCTCGAACATTTTTTGCCAACTTAAAGACGTATTGCTTTGGGTTGAAAATATGACTTTGTCCAAAGACCCATTGGGCATGAAGTCATATACTAAGGCTTGCTTAGATCCTTCAACACAAAATCCAATCAGTTGCATGACATTAGCATGATGAATCCTTCCCATGGTAGCAACTTCATTGATGAAATCTTGGCCATTACCTTTTGATGTGCTTAGTAATTTTATTGCTACAAAATGGCCACTTCGAAGTTTCCTTTTGAAAACCGAACCATAATCTCCTTGACCTAATTTATTCTTGAAACTTTCAGTGATCTTCTTTACTTCTGAATATGTGTACCTGATAGGCATGAAGTTATTCTGCTTTTGAAGGAACTCTTCAATTGTATCATCCACAAACAAATGTCTCCTCCTCAATTTGTACACAATGATTGCAAGCAAGATGGAAATCCCAAGCAGAGCTCTAGCTAATATAAGTGCTCCTTCTCAAGAAAAAAGATAGACACATATCAGTATCTACAAATCTGTAATCCTCTCCCATGAAAATGAATAATGTTTTCAATTCATTTAAAGAATTTATCAAACTATTCTAGTTTGTTTTCTTCTTAAGGAACTATATAGTGTAAATACGACGAGTATGTCAATGATAATTTAAAACACATACACTAGAAGAGCTCTTCAAATGACATAAAACTAGGCCTTAATTTATTCTTAATTTATCTTTACAAGTTGAATGCTTTTCTGGAAATTTTCTGCTATTTGCACACAAAACCTTTGTAATATTTGTGATCTACAAATATTTTAGATTCCAACATTAACTAAGAAATAATGTATAAACCTTTTTTTTTTCAAACATAAGCGGAGGCATACCTGTTGTTTGAAGACATTTGATGTATGTACCTGTTATCAAGAAAAAAAAAAAATGCCAATGTTATATAAAAAGACAAACAGTTATATATTTAGGTGGGGAAAGCAAAATAAAATTATAACATTAATAAAAATTATATATTAAGACATACTATGTGGTGGAAAGCTCGAATTATCCTTTACATGGGGGCCGCCCAGAAGGAAAAATATAAAGCTGTCCAGAAACGCTTCCAATGCATACTCCACTGATTGTAATCTACAACGTTAAACAAAGCCCAGTGAAGTGATATCAAGTCAAATACAAAGTAAAAAAATTGAAAGCATAATTAGAAGTTAAGAGCATCGAAACAGTGTATTCTTCATATTCTGCATAAAGTGAAGATGTTGACAAGTTTCTGAATACTTACATCACCTTCAATGTAATTTTGTTCACCCAGCAGCGGTTATTGGTGAACGAATCCCAATCGATTTCATAGCCCTCGAGCAGCTTATGATAGATATCAGAAGCAGAGAGGCCTGTGATATCAGACAGCAAAAACGGAAACTGGGCTTCAATTGTGCACGACTCATTGAAATCAGATGACTTTGGCTGGAGAAAAAAGCAGGTATATGGAGAAGAAGATCTATTGGTGCAAGCTGAGGCATCAACATAAAGTGATGAGTTCATTGGTATATTGCAATTTAGGATATACAAAATGTCGTACTCAAAGCTGAACATATTGCTAGAATAATTATAAAGACGTATTTCTCCACAACGGGCCTCAACAAGGGAACTGCGAGGAATGGAGCACATATCCCTTCGAAGACTAGCATCGACCAATCGGAGTGCATACTCTGTCCCGTTCTCAACAAATGATAATACCCCGTCTGAGTCAAAACGATAATCGGTGTATTTATGTCCTATGATATTCTCAACAAAGAATTTGCCCAGTTTTGTGACCAAAGTTGTGCGATTATGCTCGCATGCTAGTTCATACCCTAGTAAACCACACTCAACAGGATCGGTATTCAATCGGAAAGGGTATACAATACTAAGGTTGCCGCAAGAAGAAAAAGGGGGGCAAGGCTTGTATTTGGCTCTAGCCAAACAGGCATCAGGACACAGAGACAAAGCAAAGGCCATGAGGCTGAAAACGAAAATCAATTTTGTTCTTAACATCCTAAAGCTTGAGTAGGACACAGAAACTGTTTACAACAGATCGCAATTAATTACCCAATTCAAAGTGAGTTCTCAGAGGGAATAAACCAAACACCATTAACGCGTTGAATCGAAACTGATGGAATGAGAACGTGCAGAAGCATTCGACTTGTTGAAGAGAAGAAACCCCACTGGCCTTAGTTGCCTTGATTTTTTCAAGGAATTTTGATGTGACATGACTTGCGGGAATCCTTGCCCGCAGAAAATTGGTGCAATTTTTTTTTTGGCCGACAAAATTGGTGCTAATTGCTCCCAGACTTTTCGAATAATTCAAACGAGAGAAAATTGAAGAACTCTTTTTTTAGCCCTAGATTTTGTTAATAGATTTTATGGTAATTATTTCTATGACAATAATAAT